TATCATCACAAGGAATAATATGTTGAAAGCTTTCGTGCTACTTATGATTTCGATTATTACTTTGTGCAATTATTACTTTGTGAGATTTATACTGAAGTTGGATTTAATTTGTAAGATATTCATATTTTATGCATAAGTGTCGTTAAAGATTCTTGTACTCATTCAATATTTGAACAAGTGGAGAATTGTTAGATATTGTTCAAATTAACAACGAGGAGTGATTTGGAAGTGATGGAAGAGATTAACCATGAGAAAAACAAGCAAAAATAAAATAAGAAATGTAGGCCGAAAAATGGCTTGGGCTTCTGCCCGAACTTGTGTTGCAAACATAGTGGCCATTTTCTTGAACTGGGCGAGCGCTCGGTTTTGTATTGGGTGGCCACCCAATTAAAAAATTTGTCTATCGAGATTTTGAATTTTGGTGTTGTTTTGAAGAGTTTTACAATCTTTTAGCTTGGTTTTTGCATCTTTTGTGTATGGTGATTATAATTCTATAAATATATATGAGTGATTTTCATGATTGAAAACATATCACAAACATCAAATTGATTACATTATATCCAAAATCTAAGATCAATCCAAGTTTTTATAATCTTTTTTTTTTTAATTTCCCTTTTCAAGTTTTGTTTTCTTTATTCAAATTTGGATTGATGTTTGTTTACTCCTACAAATTATTTGCCATAAAGCCTTCAAGCACTTATCCCGATGGCGGCAAATATCGTTTGAGCACAGCGATTCATAATCGTGTTCAAACCTTCAATTTTGAAGATTTTTGTTGTTGGTTTTATTTTCGTTCTTCATCAACTATTCTCAACATTATTTGGAAACGCCAATATTAAAATCTCACTATTTATCTAAACCTGACCAAAGAGAGAAGAGTCACCTTAAAAATCCATATACTATCTATTCAATATAATCCTCGTGAACCTCAATCCATTGCTCCATTTCGTCATCAAAATCATCATTTTCTACATCATCATAATTACTATTATACTCGAAATTGAAGTTTCTGAAAGATTCTGCTTTGAAGTCCCACCTCTGGGACCTGCAAACTTTCGGCCGCAGTTCGAGGGGAAAATGGGGGTTGGATAAGGATTTTGTGGTGGTGAGCAATGGGACGGCGGCCGGACATGATAATGCCATTTTCGACGGTGACGGCAGAGGAGTTGGAGGTTGTGGTGAAGGATCTAATGTAGAAGAGAAATTGAAGGATATACCATTAGAGTGATCATATATCAAAGTGTTGGCACTATTTTATGTGGCACTAACACCATTTAAATTTTAGATGATGAAATTAAATTACTGAGACACTACGTAGTAAATAATATACTGCTTATTTGATAGCGTGGAATCGTGGATTGCTCGGGATAAAATAGTATCAAGGAAAAATAATTTAATTACTCAATAAATTGTTCGATTCTATTTAATAAGGCATAATCAACATGCCCTTAAAGTCTTGAATGTGACTCAAGTCTTTTTCTTGGTAGGTTAGTCAATATGATTCAAGTTTTTCTCATAACTCGCTCAATGTAATTATTTGATCAGACTCTTACAAGAATAGAATCCAATCTAGATATTCCATCGAGTTACAAAAGATAAGGTAATTCAAGCTCGAGGTAACCTGAGCCGTTGAATGAAATACAGAATCGAAATAGATGTGACTAATTTCAGATCAATTCACGTGTTGATTTGCCATATAGAAAGACAATGCCGGGTTGGATTTTTCAGCATGACAACCTATGAGGACTAACCCGGACTCTCTATGTCTAGATCAAGGATCTGAATAGGATTCAATTGAACAAACTGATTTCTTGATTGCCATCTTAGGACAAAAGGGCAATTGCACACTGTCCCTATTTTCTCCCAAAAAACAAAAGGGCAAAATGCAAAATGTCCCTTCATTAAAAAATAAGCAAAAAGTTTTTGTACAGTAGAAAATATATTATTTGAACCAAAAATATTCTTAAAATTAACTTTAGTCCAATATAGCAACAATTGTCCCTTGAACATTTCATTTGCTTAATATATTAAGGGGCTTTATGGCAAGAATATTGAAAAGTCAAAAACTCTTTCTAAAATTAATAGATTGCTTTTAAAATATGTTTGAATAATTTTCTGAAAGTGTTTTATTTTATTTATTTTTTATTATAAGATCTTTTAAAAAAAGTTGATTCAAGATAACTTCACTAAATTCTTCTACATAAAGCAGCATCAGAAGCAGTCTCCACCCTAAGAAGCAGATACCACTAAATCGCCGGGTTGTGATGGACATTGCAAAATCCATGCCCAAGTAGCTCGGACCCTTTACAACTTAGCAACACTTTTGTCTCTTTGCAACTTCAAAAAAAGAACAGACTCATAACATGTGGAAGAATATTCAATTCTTTGATAACTAGGATGTACATAACATTTTTGTTAGGAAATATCAAATGTGTTTAAATACTTTGATACATATTGAGAAAGATAGGACGGGATGCCAGCCCGTGCAAAATTGCTGTCACCACAAATTCCCATTCTATGGATAGAAAGCATTGAACTCCTTGATAGTAAAGTGTCCTCCAATAGCATGTTTAAGAAAATGGCAAGGGTTTTCCTGTCACCCGATTAATGAAAGGGCCATTTATTCTTTCATTTCGCGCACAAAGCATGATTTATAGGACAACCAGGGGTCTTCCAAGCAATAAAAAATTTCTATTATCGACGGAAAATATTAATAAACATCGTCACGCAAAAGATTGACTTGGAGAAACATTTTTCATTTCACAGACAATTCAATTTCTAACACAACTATAAAAAAAAAAGCCACTAATGCTGAGATTTGAGAACGTTAATGTCAAACAAGAACTACAAGAATATTAATATAATTTTCAGGAACTAACCGGAATGTAGTTCAATCCTCTGCATACATACCTTAATGGAAGAACGACTCGATACTTCCGTCTTCCAAGTTAAAGGTTCACATATCATGACAGGCCACTATTAGCCTAGCGCGCTATTTGCCAGTTTTCAGGGTTACCTCTCAATCAACCCTCCATCAGTTCTTTTGCAAGCCAAGCCAGGAGCAATGCTCGTCTATTCTAGCCCAGTAATGTAAATTTCATCCTCCTCACATTCTAGATCAAATATTCGCCTTCCTGCCATTTTTTTCCGAGTATTCCATACTTGATGTGATAGACCAAGTCCCAGTGCATAAAACGGATAGTCATGACAAACAAAGTCACAGCATGTCTCAACTTTGATCTTAAAGTCCAGTCTGTTCTCTTGTTAAATTAGATGTTAAATGTTTTAATTCTTTGAATATCTTTATGCAGTACACATAATATAAGATTTACATGAGACGTATGAAAATAAAATGTCAGGGCCACCAGAAGCTGGACGGGCAGAATTTACTATCAAATTTCACACGTCTAAGCAGTGCCAACCTCTTTCCAAGTAAAAACGTTAGTCTGTACACAACTCTCTTTGTACTTGCAGGAGCATAATTTCTCAAGCAGCAGTACATTCTGAGTTCACTGCCTCATGGACATAAATTCAAATTCACGGATGCCTACGACATTTCTCAATTGTATGTGCAATTTCACACCTGCAGAAAAATATTTCAATAAATTCATGATTTTAGTGAAACAAATGCAACTCATTGGAATATATTCATTAGTAGTAATGAAATGTGAGAAATTAGATGAATTCATAGAAAAAACTTTGATCTCTTACAATGAAGGTATCCCCAATTTTTACCGTCCACATGGAAATGGCCCCGAGGACTTGGAACATTTGGTAGAGATTTTAGGTATGTAAAATATAATATACATACAGAAGGTTTCAATATTCACATGGAGTAAATTGAATAATAATAAAACTATATTCTAACCAACCCCGCCCATCCTCACATAAATTTTCACAAATCAATTGCAAGTGCCACCTAAGAACAAACTGGCATATCTAAATGACACTCAGACATATGCCGTCTTCTTGATGGAGGCAGTAAAAATGGTATAGTATTGATCACC